GGAAAATATCAATGACTGCTGTAATACATGTTGGTATTTTAGAAGTGGTTTCTCAGGATGACAGAGATACGCAAGAAGGATCTAACAAGTAGTTACAGCCTAAGGGTTGTCAAAAATCAAGTGAGCCGTCTTGGGCGAAAGCCATTTTTTGTAGCGTTTCCTCTCCAGCCTCCCATCGCATTGGGACCCCACAACCAGTTAGTGTCCTCTCCCCAACTGTCAGCACAGGCAGAAGGAATCCTGCTGCAGACTTCTCCGGAGCTCCACCACAGCCTGTACTGTCAGGGGAAGAATGGCTTCCAGGGAGTCTCTGCAGGTATTGTGCAAGGTCCTCCTGGTTTACAGCTTCTGAGCGTCTCTCATGACCCCAGTCCACAGGACCTCTGACTCCTCGGGCTTAGTCTGCATTCTCATGTTCTCCGAGTCCTTGTTCAGCAGCTGTTCCTCTGCTGACTCTAGACCTTTCTTGTTCTCAATGGCAGGAGCAAGAGTGGCCCGTTGTATAGCATGTATTCCCAGGGGTTTTTCCATGATTCACACACGTCCTTAGGTGGGCATCTGCAGCTGGTGCATGGTGGGCCAATTGTGTCATTGTTTCTCTGTGTCGTGACAGTTCTCAACTGAGCAGCGGCAGCCGGCCTCAAGGCCGGCACGCCACAGTGCTCTTGGCTGCATGGCTCCCCATGTGCTGGGGGCCCTCCCTCTGGGGGCCTACGAGGCAGGAAGTGAGCCAGCCGGAAGACAGGCGCTCCCTGCCCGTGGCTCCCCGTGCGCCGGAGGCCCTCCCTCCGGGGGCCTGCGAGGCAGGGAGCGAGCTGCTGGTCAGAAGACCAGCACTCCCCACCCGTGGCTCCCTGTGTGCCGGGGGCCCTCCCTCCGGGGGCCTACGAGGCAGAAGATTTTGTCTCAAAATAAAAATTTTTTAAAAGGACTAGGGGTGTAGCTCACTGGCAGAGCACTTTCCTAGCACATGTATGTGCCTGGATTCCATCCCTAGAATGGGGCTGGAAGACAGAAATTCTACCTTGCTTTTTCAGTGGCTAATCACTCTATCAGAACACCTGAATATGTATTTTCTTAAATGACAATGCAGTCTTTCACTGTTGGTTATCTAATAACTATATATATTTGGACCCTTCTACTTAAATACATGAGTAAACTGGTTTTATTTTTTAAAAACACATACTCCCAACTTACCATTCCATACATATTACCACTATCTTTTAAGAGTTCAATGAACTTTGCCTTGCCTGACTGTACTTTACCACTTCTATTACCTTTTTTTTTTTTTCATTTTTTGAGACAATCTTACCATGTAGCTCAGGCTGGCCTTGAACTCACTATGTAGTCCAGGTTGGCCTTAAACTCGTGGTGATCCTCCTGCCTCAGCCTCCCAAGTCCTGGGGCTACAGGCATGCTACCTACCATACCTGGCCAGGTAAGCTCTCTAGTGCTGAGCTACATCTCCAGCTCTTTTACTGTCCCAGCCTAGCCTTGAATTTGAATTCTTTCTGCCTCAGCCTCCTGAGTAGCTGGATTACAATTATATACCACTATACCTGGCTCTAATTTATTTCTTAACTGCAAATTGGCTATTTGTCCTCATATAACACTTCAGAAAAGGCCTCCTAAAATCCAAATTGAAAGCTCTTTTATAATTTCTCACCTTACCTGTCTCACTGAAAAACTCTCTTGACTTAGCTCCGGGGATATATTTTCTGACTTTCCAATCCAGTCTACAAAGAGTAGTGTTTTAATCCTCCTAGTGCAAAGATTTGATGGGTTATACCTGAAAAATCTTTCAAGGCTACCTGCAGCCTATGCAATTAAATTTAAGTCCTAGCTTGCTGTTCAAGGCCCTGCAGCTGGAGCTTTCGTGGCCTTTAATCCCATCTCTCTTACATATTCCCTTTATTCCGTGATGGTGTGACTTGGTATTCTTCACACACCTCTGGTGCTTCACTGTCTCATTATTATCTATCCTATTTTCTTGCTTTCAGCATAGCTACCCTTCCAGGTTCTGATCAAATATCGCTTCTTGGCCTGTGGCTAAAATCAAGCGCATATCAAATGCCACTTCCCAGCTGGGCAGTGGTGCTGTGTGCCTGAAGTCTCAGCTACTCAGGAGATTGAGGCAAAAGGGTCAGTGGAGCCCAGGCTATCCAGGGCAAAAGAGCAAGACCCCACTTCTCTCTCTTTCTCTCTCTCTCTTTCTCTCTCTCTCTCTCTCTCTCACACACACACACACAGCCACTTCATGAAGCCAGTTAGATGTGCCATCTTAAGTATCTGTCGATAAAGCATTAACAAAACTGCTCTATAGACAAATTTGTGAGTTCATTTTCTAGCTCTATTCTTGGAAAAATGGTACAATGTATTACTAGGCTAATTGTTTATGGTAAGAACAAGCCCTATTTGGTAAATTATACCTAGACTGGGAGAAGTTACAAATGTCTGGAAGCCACAACCCTCTTTCCCCAAATGCACTGTCTTGCAGGGGCCTAGACACATCTAGAGATCTGCTGAGACGGCAGCTCTTGTGTGTGAGGTTCTCAGCCAGGGGGCTCGAGCGCTTGTGAACTGAGGGGAAATCCTGGGTGGCCCGTGGCCCACGAGTGCTCCTGTGCAGAATTACTTGCTGCTGGTCAGCCTGCTGTATGTCTCTGAGCAAAATGGTGTTACATGTGACCTCTCCGGGTCTTGTGAATCCAAACGTTTGCTGGAGTCTAAAAAGATTCTTTGGAAAGGCATCAGATACCCATCACGTAGCTCATAGCTGCTCATTCTGAGGGGTTCTCCACACCTCTTAGTGAATGAAGTCTCTGTGGTAGTGTTATGCAAACTTGCTATGAATCACTTAGACAATCTGAACCTATTTGTCATTAAAATAACCTTTTCCTCCCTTAAAGGGCTCTGGTGATGACTAAGCTATGAAAATATTTCCTTAGCAGCAAAACGCTGTATCTGTGTTAACACTACCATCAGTATGCTAACATATAAACTAGTATTTTCCTACTAGTATAGCAATCTTTACTGAACCCCATCACTGCATCCCTCAAATAGTAAAAACGTGATAAAGGAGAGGGGCGTTCCAATGCAAAGCTGAGGCAGCGATTTGGTCTGTGTTCAGGACAGTACCAAACTAATCTGTTCATGCCTTGCCAAAAGTAAAACAGCAGCCGGGTGTGGTGGCACATGTATGTAATCCCAGCACTCAGGAGGCTGAGGCAGGAGGACTGCCCAGAGTTTCAGGCCAGTTTGGGATACACAGTGAGCTCAAGGCCAACCTGAACTGCATAGTGAGACCCTGTCTCAAAAAGACAAAAAACAAAACAACAAAAAAAGCCAATAGGGTATTTTTCTGTATTTATTCTGCTCTTTCATATACTAATACCGCTCTCTTCCGTTTTGTTCCAATCACCCAATATTTAGGACCCAAATGTTTCTTACATTCTTAAAAAAATAATTTCCTGTTAGCCTGACTGTATTGTATCTGAGAACTAAGGGAACCATCCCTCCAGATCTGCTGTAGGCTTTTTTTTTTTTTTTTTTTTTAATGAAGCCATGATCACTATCTGTTAAAGACAAGTGAAAAGCAGGATCATCTTACTTTTGCATCTATCTTTCTGTGAGATTTTAGCTTTAAAATTTGGCTGACTTAGAAAATACACTGCTAGATTTTTGTTAGGTAGCTATTTTTTTGTGTGTGAGACTGGGTCTCCTTATGTAGCTCAGGCTAACCTCAGCCTGAGTGCTGGGATTACAGGTGTGCAGCCACCATGTCCAGCTAGTACCCTAATTTTAATAATTTGGTAGTGACACCATTTCATTAGCTATTCTATTAAAGAATGAAGCACACAGAAATACTATATTAGAATTTGGTTTTGCACAGAACAAAGAAATAGTTTATGGCCTAATGTGGAAGTTGGAGCAGGGACTGTATTAGGCCAATCATGAGCCTCAAAACACTGCCCATCTTTTGATGTATAGAGTGTCCATGGTGAAGTGGAGAAAGCAGAATCTGGGAGTGTGTGTGTACTTGAGGACAGGAAGTTTAATAGCGTTCAAGTCACAACACAAGCTCACTCTCTACATTAAAAGCAAGACTATCTTGTAGTTTTCCGTGAACTTTCTCACCTTTCCAGCTTCGATAAAAGAATGGGTAACAGGTATTCAACTACTGCAGGCTCTGCAGGGCACAAGGACCTCCCAGAGTTCTTGCTCGCAACTAAGGCACTACTTTGACTGTTACTGCAGACAAGCTATTTTTTTTGTGTGGTACCGGGGATCGAACTCATGACCTCACGCTTGCTAGGCAGGCACTGTGCCACTGAGCTATATCCCCAGCCCCAAAAGGGATCTATGATTTGTTTTCTTTTTCCCAGTACCGGGAATTGAACTCACAACCTTGTGCTTGCCAGGCAGGCGCTGTGCCACTGAGCTAAATCCCCAGCCAGACAAGCCGTTTTGCTAGAAAGACTCTTACAGTCTGATGGAAGATGGTGTGAAAGCAATAGGCACTTGGTAGAAACTATTCTTGAAATTGTGAAGCTTGATCTTTTCTCAGGCTAGCAATGTGCAGTATCACAGTCTCTCAATTCTGGGCAGGGAGCCGCAGCTCAATCAGCCACATGATCACGAGGAGGAACAATCACGCCCTACCACTTTGCTCCTAAGCTACAATGTTTTGTAGGTTCTGGGTCCAGTGCATTTGGGCTTAATCATATTTTCAGTATTTGATGGGTTTACAGGACACAGCCACATTGTAAGTCCACAAGTGTCTGTATGATGTTTGCATCAACATCAGATTAAACCTTACGAGCTACAACTGGGATTAATGACGTAAAAGCGCATTAGCTTCATATAAACCACAGCAAGATGTGTTCAACACACACATAAATTTTCTTCAAATTCTTCTGAGTACTGTACTACTGGCTTGAAAAGTGATCATGCTTTGCAAGAAAATTCAATGTTCAGAGACAAAAAAAATCAGTCAGTGAGAAAATATAACTAAAGAACATTTATTTTTCACTAAGACTTTTTCTTGAGGACATAACTAAACTTTGTCATCATCCCCCACCCCACCTTAAAAGATTAGTACAGTGAATGTTATAAAGCAGATATGAACAATCGGAAGGACTGGAACCAACAGTGACAAGGAACAACTTCCATCTGAATCATCATAAAAATGTTTAAGTAAAAAAAAAAAAAAAAAGAAAAGAAAAAGGGGCAATGGGGTTTCAGATTGAAAAGATCCTCACGGCTCACATTTCATCTAATGCATTCAATCCTGGCTCAAGTGTAACAAAATGGAAACAGGCCCACTGTGATACAGAACTCCCACGGCAGCACACTGCACACACCACGTTCCAAGCCCGCCCCCAGCCCCCTCTTGTTCCTACTCAACTATTTCCCAGCCTGTTGGGCCTGCCGACGAAGGAGCACGTAGATCTTCTCTTTGATCCAGTCTTTGTTGTAAGGCTGGTATGTCTGGGTATCAGCTCGGTAACTGAGGAACAGAAAAGTCGAAGTCACAGCGGTCAGTTACTGTTGTGAGTTTAAAACCCCAAATTATGACCCCCCAATGACAGCCCTGACATGCAGATTTCCCTGCATGAACTCAATGAATAGCTGAAAAATCTGCTGAATTTTAACCAATATGAACTTTAAATCACCTAGTATAATCTTAAATAAAAGTAAAAACATAAAAAAAGGCCTAGAGCTCTTAAATGTTCAATATGTTACATATCTACTTCTCCAGAGTTCAACCAGAAACCATGTGTTCTTTCTCCCATGTAGTTTCTATTTTTATAGTTCCTTTAGTTATTAATAAACAAAAACCAAACACTAGTACTAGTTTATTTTTTTGGAAACAGAGTCTCCCTATGTTGTCTAGGCTGGCCTAGAACTCAAGGCAACTGATCCTCTCGCCTCCCAAGTGCCAGGATTATAGCTGTGTACCACATGCCTGGCTTTCATTTGCTAAATTTACTTTGAATTAACTAAAAAATGTCTAAAAACATATTATTGCAACCAAGATTTCCTGTTGGTTATTTTCCCCTGTAAAGTATTAAGAAATGGACTTGTAACCTATATTTTAGGATTTACTTTATAAAATACTAGCAACTTATGGAGAATTATCAGGAGATATAGCAAACTCTAAAACATCTTTTATCAAGACAGAAGGCCAAGTGTGTGAAGACTAGCACAAGCAGCAAAACTCACACGGGATTCTGAAGGTCTTCAGAGCGCATGGCACACTGAATAGCCAATCACAAGGAACTTTTACAGGATTCGAAAAACAGAAAAACCTTCCAGCTCATCTGAAACTGAAATCTGGCCAGTTAAGTAATACAGTCTTTCCTGAGCCCCTAAGGAAAGCTGCAGTATGAAAAAGCAAACAATCACAAATACAGAGCCTGTATCAGTGTTTCCAAGCTGTGTGCACCATCTGGTGGAACCCTGCAGAGCAACTGAGGTCGAAAATACTGAAGATGAAGTTGGCCTTTATGGGCCGGTTGGCTTGCCTCGAAGGACACCTCAGAGGTAGCCTAGGAAAATAAAACCTCACTTACCAATTACTGTTTCACTGAGGCCAAACGTGTTTTAACTTCTCAGCAAAAAATAAATGATAATGAAAACGATAATTTACTAAACTTGCCTTCAAGAAGGAGGTCTTGTTTATCTGAGTTAATTCACTTCATCCTTTTTATAAACCCATAAGGAGGTACAATTATTATTCCTTTTTATAAATAAAACAAGGCTTAAAGGAGCAAAACCACCCAAGAGCTAAGGGACACAAAACAGGTAGTAAACAAGCCTCTTAGCCCTCTCCCCTTAGACCCCCCCAGCTAGGACCTGTATGCTACACTTTAGCAAGGCAAACAAGAAGCAGGAATGCTTTACATAATAAACATCAAGGTCTCCCTCTGAATGGTAAGGTCAGAAGCTAGTTTACTGAAAACGCACAGGCTTTCTACTTTATAAACATCTGACTTCTGCTAATGCCCATGAGCAATACTTTTAAAAGTGAAGTAATCTGTACTATTCCTCTGGTCATGCTTCCTCATTAAATAAGTGCTAATCCTGTCTACTTCAATGTGTAGTAAAATACATTACAGTTACACTAATACTGACAAAGGGCAAAGAGGGAACCAAATTTCTCAGAATTATCACACCTGGATGGAACAGCCTTAGTTAGACCATTTCGTGCCCCAAAAAGCGTACTCTGGCTTGGGAATATTTAAGGATCCATTAACTTGCATGCTATTTTCCAATTCATGAAATAGCAATAAAGCTTTCTTTATGGGAGAGCTGTGCGCTGATGTCTCTTAACTGGTGCTTGAAAATGGGACAGTTAGATGTAAAGAACATTAATCACTGGCACAAGTGACCTTTTCAGCCTCTTATTATGGTCAGTGACTGTAGTCTGGTGTGGTGGCATACACCCATAATCCTAGTACTGCAGAGGCTGAGGCAGGAGGATTGCGTGTTCAAGCCCAGGCTGGCCAAATTAGGGAGAACTTGTCTCAAAATAAAAAAAGGCAGGGGCTGCAGTTCAATGTGAAAGCCCTGGGTTCAATCCCCAGTAACCCCCTCCTCCCCAAACACCAGATTCTGAGGGTCTGAATAGTGAAATCAGCAGGATCTTCACTTACACCAAGTTTTCTGTCTGATAGAGGCACGTCCTCATTGTAATAATGGGATGAAAATGCCCCATACTGAAAATGCTCTTATTTTCATCTTAAGAAAAAAATACAGGTCAACAAACAAAATTGATAAAATAAAACTCCTCCTCCAATTATATGGCATACAGACTCTCCATGCATAAATTTTATAATTAATACCATTTGCCCTGAGTTTAGTGATGTCATAAAGTAGAATCTTTCTATTTAATTCGTTCCTATGTTTTTTAGTGTAACCATTTTTCTTGTGGTGCCAGGGATTGAATATGGTGCCTGGGACATGCTCTACCACTGAGTCTAGCCCTACGCTGTCAAAAAATTAAAAAGGAGCAGGTCACAGGAAGTGCGATAGCAGTAGATGACCTCCTTGGAAATAGTACCTTATTTCTCTGCAATATTCAAATAACAAATGGGACAAAACCAAAATCATATTGAAAAAATGGTCTTAAATCTAAATTCAATTTTCAAAGTTTTCAGAGAACAAAACGTTTTCAACATTTGAAACAGAATCATAAATTTAAACTGTAATTTACACTTTTTCAAACAGAATTAAAAACTAGATTACCATTAATCTCTTATTTAGCTGGGAAGAATATCTAGGGTCAGTATCTTTGCATGACATATGTAGTCTTTGGCTTACATGTAATAAAGCACCGAGTGAAAGTTATGTTCTGTCATTAGTAACATACTTGTAGTACTATATGTCCCTTAAAAACACTCTTTTACTTTGTATAATTTTTACATTGCCAAAAAATCACAACACTTCTTTCATGGTTAATAGAACAATTTATCTTATTTATAGAAAGAGAAATTTCTAAGTTTTACAATTTTGTGGCAAATTTTAAAAGAAGGTGTACAGTAAAAATGAGTTCATTAAAAATGGAGTTCCTACTTACATTTGCTACCGATGCACCAAGCAAGTCCCTATCCTCCTAAGTAGTCATGAGAAGTAGGTTTATCTAAATTTTACAAATGAGCAAACTGCAGTTTAACAATATTGAGCTAATTTGCCCAAGGGAGTCAACAAATGGTAGAGCCAGAATTCAAACCCAGCTATGTTTAATTTGTAAACCCCAGTTAGCTCTTATTATAGCTTCCCATGGGGAGTAAAAAACACCATCCCTGGCTCTAAGTTACTTCCTGTGTGTTGAGAATGAGCACCAGAGCTCAAACTATCAGGAATAGATACCTGATATCTTGGTAAGTCAAGCTTTATAAAAACATGAAAACAACCATTAATTGTTAAAATCAATAATTTAAAGAATGAAGTAAGGGTCTGTATTGAACTCTATTAAAATCTTCAGTGCCACTTGAAACATCTAGTCAATTTCTAAGTGTGAAAACTTACCAACACTAATATACCTTGGACCATACAGACCTCAGAGTTTCATCAAGAACTTCAAGATTTCTAATACAAGATACTGTAAAATTTAGCATGTAATATATTCTTTCACTTTTGTTTCGATCATTCAATTGGTTCACAATACAGCTCAGTAACAGAAATAAAGGAAATAGAAAATTACCAATATTTTTTTAAAAACTATGCCTTAAACCATTATGTGCTTAACATGCAATGATACAGCAAATACAATAGCTACTCAGCATTACTATGTGTAAGATACTATTCTAGATACCGGGAATGCAATAATGAACAAGAAAAATGCTCCCTATTCTTAAATCCTAGATAATAAATGTGTACATGCTATAATGCACATCTAGATGTTCCCTAAGGGCCTCAGGTGCTCACAGGCAGGGCTATTAGAAGGTTCTGCATTTGTACTGAACGTGTACTTTTTTTATAATTCACTAAACAATACAGTTTAACAGCTATTTAGGTAGCATTTACACTGTATTAGGTATTATTTAGTAAACTAGAGACAATTTATAGTATATGGGGCATGTGTGTAGGTTATATGGAAACACTGTATCATTTTATATAAGAAACTCCAGTGCCCTTGGATTTTGGTATCTGCAGCAGGTTGGGTCCCCTGGAACAAATCCCCTGCAGATACTGAGAGATAACTGTACTTGATATATGGTTAGTACTCAATAACTATTTGCTAAATGTGTGTGTGTGTGTGTGTATATCTGTGAGAAATAATATATGTCAGACTACATAAGCAGAACAATTACAGGCATTACAAACTAATAAAGCCCAACACCCATAGCTTTACTGGCCTCAGTTTTGAACTTGTTTATATTTAAATAATTTTAATAAAAAAAAATTTTATTAGCACATTTCATTAAACATCAGAATTGGTTACCTGGATGTTTTCAGCAAGTAAAATGAAATGACTCATCTGACCACACAATCAAGTACAAAAAACAAAACTCAAAAATCCCAAGGACATGCTTGTATTCCCCAGGAGCCTCTGAGAAGACAGCAAGATGCAGTCAGCTTGGCTGCGGTGTAGATCCAGGATGTGCTGCAGGGTAGGACCTGTATGTTCTAGTTCTGCCACAGCACCTAAGATGTATTGTAGCAAGTGACCAAGCACCCCAGGGCTGTCAGTTCATTCTAAAGTGCTCCCATTTTCCTTTGTAAACTGAGCTGTGTTTACACTTTCTCGTTCATAAATGGCATGAAGATTAAGTCTACTACACTTTATGCTTCTTAGTAGTAGTGGTAGTAAGCAGATTATCAAAACAAATGTTAACAAGCATTATTAGAAAGTCAAAAAAAGTTTGACAAATCTGAGAATAGAAAACATACAATCTAAAGAAAACTTTTTTTTTTTGGTACTGGGAATAGAACTCAGGACCTTGCACTTGCCAAGCAGGCTCTGTGCCGCTCAGCTATATGCCCGGCCAAGCAAGCACATCCTGATAAACCAAAATCTACATGTTTACTCAGAATAGGATTAAAATTAATTTCAATTCCACTTATATTTAAGCTTTTCAAAACTGCCCTTTAGAGTACTCCTAGTTTTAGCTCAAAACAAACTGCTTTAGAACAAAGACTAAGAAAGTGGTGAGGGGGAAGAACTATGAAAAGGATCATTATGTTTAATAAAACGAATGAGGATATAGCTGGACACGGTGGTGCACACGTATAACCCCAGCACTGCAGAAGCTGAAGCTGGAAGACTGCCACGAGTTTGAGGCCAGTCTGGTTACAGAGTGAGTTTAAGCCCAGCCTGAACCACATAGTGAGACCCTGTCTCAAAAAACAAACAAACAAACAACAACAAGAATCAGGATATGGAACTTCTCTATTCATACTTACTGTATCAAGTAGTAAAGTTTTTAAGATATTCCTGTGCCTCTGGTATTACACTGCCAATTTAACAATATGTAAAGTGAAATATTAATTACTGTATAGTATACAAAAAGCAAGGATTAGTGTCAGACAAACAGTTAATCCTTAATACCATAAGTCACTGCAAATAAACAAAGAGAAGAAAAATACAAGTTAAGATATGGTGGCTAATACTTACACAAGGCAACTGAGGTCTGCCAGATCATCAATAAAATCAAACAACTGACTGATATCATATGTGATAGAAGGGCTGTTGGGGTTCATTCTCTTCAGATGTTCTTCATACATTTTACAAACGCCTAAAAGAAGGAGGAAAACATTTATAACTGCATGAACTACTACACCAGAGTAGAGTTACATGTTATTTATTTTACTAAAGTTGGGCTGAAAAAAACTAATTACTGCCACTACAAAGTTAAGAAAATCTTACAAATTCTTTGGAATGTTACCACTCTGTGCTTCAATGATAAAATGACTACTTCAATGGTGCTAAAGGGACTTTAGAGTACTTGACTAGCAAGCATGAAGTCCTGGGTAACACAAAAAACCACCAACCAAGCAAAACCAGTAGCGTGCGCTTCTTACTATCAGTTGTTCAATAAATCTTCTTAAAGCCATCGGTATATAAAGGAGACATCAAACTTTGGAATGATGGATTAGAAATGGATACTTTGCTATTTAGCCTTCAAATTTTGGTGCAGTGGGGGGGGGGGGAAATCTAGCAGTAAGTGTTAAAGCTTATTCTAATATGGTATCCAAGCTCCTAAGATTTAGATTCAGACAGACAATGACTGCATCCCATGAACCTTTACCCTTCAAACAGAGGTAACAGTACTTCTTTGTAGGGCTGTGAGGATTATGAAAAACAATGCATATGAAACATTAATACATGTAAAAGCTTATTGGTGGGCTAGGGATATAGCTCAGTGGCATAAGCGCCTGCCTGGCAAGCACAAGGTCCTGAGTTTGATTCCCAGTACCAAAAAAAAAAAAACCAAAAGCTTATTAATATTCTAACACAATAAAATGAGTGAAATCACATTACTAATGTAATTTCTACAGAACACACTGCCCACTTTATTTTTACTCAATGAAACATTCCTCCCTCATATTCCAATCCTACTATTAACTTTTTTTATTTTTATTTTTTGCAGTACTGATAATTGAAAGGGGCAGAGAGGTGCGCTTCATGCTGAGCTACATCTCCAGCCCTTCTTATTTTTTATTTTGAGTCAGTGTCTTAAGCCATCCAGGCTGGGCTTGAATTTGCTATCTTCCTGCTTCAACTTCCTGGAGTGCTGAGGTTTTGTGTGCCACCACATCCAACTACCATGGAATACTTTTAAGACTACCATGGTGAACTGGACAAAGCAACGTAAGTGTTAGTGATATGGGCAACTGGGTGTGGTGGTACATGCCTATAATCCCAGCAACTCGTAAGAGTTTGTGGTAGGAGAATGGCAAGTTCAAGCTCAGCCTAGTAATTTAGCGAGACCTTGTCTTTAAAAAAAAGTTACCTGGGAAAAACACATTTTATATGGTAATCCACAGGCCTTTATTGTACCTTAACTTTCTAAACTTCCTAATAAAAAGCAATATTCAACCACAGAACTATCAAGCAACTATCTTAGGAGTTCTGATTTCTACTCCTATATTACATTATGATCCCATATCACTCATAAGTTATTGAACAGAAAGAAAATAAAAATGGATTCAGTGCTCATCTTAAAGAGGCAATGATCTATAGCTACCATCATACTTGGTGAAAAGACCAGATGCTTTTCTGCTAAGATTAGGAAGACTAGACTATCCACTCTGGCTGCTTCTTTCTATTCAATACTTTAGCCAGATGAGGTGGTACATGCCTGTAATCCCAGCACTCAGAAGGCTGAGGCAGGAGGATCGTTGTGAGTTCGAGGCTAGCCTGAGCTACATAGTGAGCTAAAGGCCAGCCTGAACTGCATAGTGAGACCCTGTCTCAAAAATAAACAAACAAACAAACAAATAAACAAACAAAAACCAAATTATTTTACTTCAGGTTCTAGCCAGGATGGTTAGAAAAAGAGCTAACAGGCATTTGTATCAGAAAGGAAGAAGCACCATTATCTGTATTTACAAATTATATACCATTGTAGACAGAAAATCTCAAGGAAGGAAAAAAACACCCAGACACTCCTCATTTTATGACTGAATAAGGTCCTGCAACCTAGTGGCTTTGGTCGCTAAATGAGAACTTGTATATAGTAGATACATTACACTATTTGGAACAAAGAAATGGTCAAAGGAAACTCTTTTTTTTTTTTTTGGTTTTTCTCCAGTACCAGGAACCGAACTCACAATGTTGCGCTTGCCGGGCAGGCGGGTCAAAGGAAACTCTTAACTTGATGACTATGCTTTTTTTTTGTTTGTTTTGTTTTTCTTCCATTACCAGGAACCAAACTCACGACCTTGCGCTTGCCAGGCAGGCACTGTGCCGCTGAGCTAAATCCCCAGCCCCGACTATGCTTTTATTTGCGTAACTCTTACACACAGTATTGTAATGTACAACAGAACATAAAACTACAATACTGTACAGTACAATCAGCAAAAATGATAGTACTGTATAAACAAGATGTATGAAGTCTGACCAGTTATTGAACAGGTAGCATCAAATGAGTATTTGTATTAGAAAAATGAGAGCAGCAAGGTTGTAGGATATAAGATCAATATATGAACATAAACTGTAAATCTATACTGTCAAAATGAACAATTTGAAAATGAAATTAAACTCCATTAAAAAAATAAACTCCATTTTATAACAGCATTTAAAAAAAAAGAATAAAGTTCTCGGGAATAAATTTAACAAAAGCACAAGACTTGTACACTGAAAGCTATAAAATGTCATAGAAAACAAAGACCCAAACAAATGGAAAAGCATTTTGTGTTCATGGGCTGGAAAACATTAAGACTGTAATACTTCCTCAAATTATCTATACATTCAAAGCAAATGCTATAAAATGCTGAGCTACCTTTGCAGACACTGATTAGCCAATCCTAAATTTGACATAGAAATGCCAGAGACCCAGGTTAACTAAAATAATCTTGGAAAAGAACCAAACTGGGAGACTCACACTTCTGATTTTAAAACGTACTATGAACCTACTGCAGTCAAGGTTGATACTAGCCTAGGCATAGGCACATAGATCAATGCAATAAAAATGAGTTCAGACATAAATCCTCACATTTACAGTCAAATGCTATTCTAAAAGAGCGCCAAGAAACTCAATGCAGAAAGAACAGTCTTCAACAAATGGCAGGGGCTGGGGATATAGCTCAGCGGCACAAGTGCCTGCCTGGCAAGTGCAATATCCTAAGTTTGATTCCCAGTACAAAAAAAAAAAAAAAAAAAGGCAGCATGACAACTGGATAATGACATGCTAAAGAATAAAGTTGGGCCCATTCCCCATACCATTAATAAATACTCAAAACAGATCAGACAGCTACAAGTAATTGCCAAAACTATAACCTTCTTGAAAAAAAAAGAGGAACCAGTCTTTGTGAACTTGGATAAGACAATGATTTCCTAGATAACGATAAAACAAGAAAAACAAAAGAAAAAATGTAAGTTGTACTCATGAAAAGGAAACTTTTGTGTTTCAAAGAATGCTATCAAGAAACTGAGAAGAGCCAGGCACACACTTGTAATCCCACCACTTGAGAGGCTGAGGCAGGAAGATTACCATGAGTTCAAGGCTAGCCTGGAGTACACAGTGAGACCTTGTCTCAAAAAAAACAAAGAAAGAAAGAAAAACTGATAAGACAAACAAACTAGGAGTAAATCTTTGCAAGACATATATGCTTTAAAGGACTGGTATCCACAACATTCAAAGCACTAAAACTCAACAACAGTGAAAGCAAAATAAAAAGAGTGGACAGAAGATCAAAACGAACACTTTTCCATAGATGTACAGATGGTAAAACTATGAAAAATATTCAACATCCTTTGTAATTGAGGAACTGTACATTAAAACAATGATACAACAACCACACACTTCGAGTAGTTCAAATCTAAAACCATGACAAAACAAACATCAAATGTTGGCAAGGACACCCAGTAAAGGAAACTCCCACATGTGTATTTGCCCACGTTAGTTGAAAATACAAGTCCACTAACAGCCTACACACAAATGTTTACAGCAACTTCATTAATAATTGCCAAAAGATGGAAGCAACCAAGATGCCCTTCAATAAGTAGATAATCAAACTCTGCTACATTTTTACAATGGAATATTATTCAATAATGCAAAAAAAAAAAAAAAAAAAAAAAAAAAAAAAGAGCTATAAGGCCATGAGAAAACAATGAAGAATCTTGAAGGATATTACTAGGTGAAAGAAGTCAATTTGAAAATGCTAACGGTTAATTCCAACATGACAGTCTAGAAACAGTAAAGCAAGAGACCATAAAAAGATCAGTGGTTGTCAGCGGCTTAGTGGTAGGGGTGCAGTACAGACGGAATAGAAGATTTTCAAGGTAGTAAAATTATTCTGTACTTGATGGCCAGGGCAGAAAGATATCTTTATACATGTCAAAACCCATAAAATGTTTAAAGTAAAGTGTAAGCCCTAATTAAATTACAAGCTTTAGTTAATAATGTATCAGTATTGGTTTATCAGTTGCAACAAATGCATCACGTTAACAGAAGATACACCAATAAAGGAAACTGGGAGGAGAAAAAGGGTCTGTTAGAACTGTACTTTCCAATCAATTTTCCAAAAACCTAAAACTGCTCTAAAAGAATACTATTAATTATAAAAAAGCAGCCTGGTAAGTGCAAGGTCCTGAGTTCAATTCCCAGTACAAAAAAAAAAAAAAATTATAAAAAAGTAAAGGGGCAGCTAGGGAGGAAAAGCTCTGCTTTATAGAGGGTTATTAAATTCAACAAAAAAAAAGGTAAGAAAATTACCATTCAACAACTACCACATGAGAAATGACTCAATAATGACACTTTAACATTTCTTAACCTTGTTTTTTTTTTTTTTTTTTTTTGAGGTACTGGGGAATCACACATGCTGGGCAAGCTCTTTACCACTGAGCTATATCCCTAGACCCTCATCTTAGAACTTTTTTCCTCTGGTACAGGGGACTGAACACAGGACCTTGTGCACGATGGGCAAGTGCTCTATTACTGAGCCACATCACCCAGTAACTTTTTAAATAGAAAAGAAACCATGTCTAGTCTAAAAAAAAAGGAATTATGATGTCATGAAAACATATGGAAGAAGCTTAAATGCATATTGTTGGATGAAAGATGCCATTATGAAAAGGCTATAGGCCAGGCGTGGTGATACGTGCCTAATAATCCTGCTAGTCAGGAGACTAGGAAGACAAATTTGAAGCCAGCCTAGGTGACTTATTGAGAACCTATCTTAAAATAAAAGGGGATGAGGATATAGCTCAGTGGTACAGTGCTTCCCTAGCATGCACAAGACCCTGGGTTTAATTCCCAGTAGCAAAAGGAGTAGGGGGACAGAGAAAGAGAGGGGCATAGGTGTTAATAATTCAAACAAGTATAGTCAGCCCTTTATTTACACGGGTTTAGCATTCATGGATTCAACTCACTGAATTGATAGCATTTGGGGGAAAAAAACTGCATCTGTACTACACATGTACTGACTTTTTCTTGTCTTTTCCTAAACAATAAAGTATTACAACTATTTATGTTGCATTACACTGTACAGCGTATTATAAGTAATCTAGATGATTTAAAATATGCAGAAAGATAAATGTAGAGTGTATGTAAACATATCATTTTCTGTAACAGACGAGTATTTGCAGATTTTGGTATTTGCAAAGGGGTCTTGGAATAAGCCCCCTGAACAAACACTTATGACAATCTGGAAAAGGCAGAATTACCAATACAGTAAAGAGACCAGTGGCTCTCAGGAGTTTGGAGGGTGAGACAGGGAGGGTCAAAAAGGTGGGACACGGGACTTGTAGCACAGTGAAACTATTCTGGACGATACTGTAATGGTGCATTCAATCTTGTGGATTGGGCAAAATCCACAGAACTGCACAACACAAAATAATGAACCTAATGTAATACGGACTTTAACCAGGGAACTCTACTTTGTTTCATTTTTATATTACCTAAAAGCATATTAATTAAAAAGTACAATGAAAGCACATGAAATTTTTAAAAAGGCTTTATAAAGTCTACGACATTACTAAAGGGTATCCCAGAATCAAAGAAGCATGACAATTTAGACAGTATAACATTATACGAAAGTAGCAAATACAGTTTACCTTATGGGCAAACAAAGATATCAGCAGAGGAATGGCCCTGAAAAGAGATCATCAAAGTTCCTTGCTCTTCTTTAAAATGAAAGGAGAAAAATCAGAACAGAATTTGATGGCAGTCTGGATAGAACGACATCACCTACCTAGAAGGTATCACTGGTTATAAATAGCTTTTTTTCACAGGTATACTTACTGTTGGGTCTTACTTGGACAGGTTATAAATTTAACCCAGTTAGTTTTGAATAATCAACAGTTTTAAGGACATATCCACCAGCAAAAACAATGTGGCTATATAACCTTTGTGGAAGAAGTGAAGAATGGCTAGGTGTGGTGGTACACACCTGTAATCCCAGGAGGCTGAGGTAGGAGGATCACTGTGAGTCCAACGCTATCCTGAACTACTACTACACAGCAAGACCCTATCTCAAAAAACCACAACAAGAAAAAGAGTAAAGAATGAATAATTTGCTATTTATGTGGGATGTGCACAACTAGTTAACTTGATATAAAGATTAAGAATAAAATTGACTTATGAAAATTCCATCTTTGTGCTCTAATGGTTCACTGAGTAAAGAAACTATAATTCTCTTCAGGGGGAGTGTCAGCATATCAAATACACAATAAATTATGTTGACCTGTTCCATTAGCCTTTATTCTGAGCTGATTTTTATTCTGGTTAAACCCCAGCACTTTGGTGCACTATAACCAAATCTCAATTTGGTTGTTTAACAGAAGGACTATTAGGTGCTAAAGGCATTCCCAGAGGCTGCCTTAACAACTCTACAGTGCACTGGAGTTTAACCAGGATATACAAGGAGTTCTATAAAATATTCAAATAATGAAGCACAGTGTAATAAATAACAGAATGAAGCTAGGCATGCTGGCGCACACCTGTAATCCCAGCACTCAGAAGGCTGAGGCAGGAGGATCATTGTGAGTTTGAGATCAGCCTAGGCTACAAAGTGAGTTCAAGGCCAGCCTGAACTGCATAGCAACACGGTCTCAAAAAGACCAAAAAAAAAAAAAAAAAAAATCAGAATGAGAAGCTTTGGAAAGTCACTGAATATATGCATGAGCTTGATTTAAAATAGTAAAATAATATTTACAGCAGAAAAAGATGGCATAACATATCAAATACCCAAGAAATACGGCCTATTCTAAAGACCTAGTTTCCCACTCAAATTAACAATCTAAGAAATCCAGAGGAGAAAGAAACCTAGTTCCTGGGGGGATTGATTGATTGATTGATTGACTTTTGTGTGTGTAGTGCTGAGGTCTGACCCCAAAGGTACTCTACCCAAGCTGTATCTCTAGACCTTTCTACTTTTTTAAGACAGCGTCTGGTAAGTTGCCCAGGCTGGCCTCAAACTTGTTCTGCTTCTACCACTGCCCCCTGAGTAGCTGGGAGACACACTTAATATGTAGAGGCATAAACACATTTTATGGATGTCAGGGGAAAAAACACTCAAAGTTTCTATACCTGGACTGGAGTGAAACTTACCTTCCATGCATTCATTAACAGATTCATAGTCAGCGTAAGTTCTGCCTTCTGGCCTCTTGGTTGGTTGCACCAGCAAAATAGTGTGAGACTGCAGGGGAAAAAAGTGATTTCAATAAGTATTTAGTTTCTAGTTGAGAAATTCACAGTATGGTATAAAATCCAAATGCGTGACACAATGAATGACTGTTAGTTATTAAAACATAATTAGGTTGCTCATCCTATAATATTTATGCCTTTGCTCAAAGTTAAGATTTAAAATTCTGTTAAGAGAGTCTTCCTTAGTCTTTGAGTCTTTAATGATTGCTTTCTCAAATTTCAATGTATTTACTGCCCCTAAGTACTTACCAAAAGCAACTTTCTATTGGCTTTTCTTTTGCATCTTTTCTTCCTGACCAAATTATAAATCTGTTATGGTTTTCTGTGTTCATGGGTCACCTTCTATCATTACCCCTTATGAAACCCCTAAGAAAAATTTAGATACTGGCTCATGAAAGGAGAGAAAAAGGGAAACACTGCCAACAAATTATATCAACCAAAATTTTTAACTATCAACAAACTGCAACTGAAATGGCTGATATTTAGACTTTACGAATAAACAGGAAAAGAGCACTTTGAATATAGAATTCTAAGGATCATATTTCTCCCTCCCTCCCCATTAAGAACTAAGTAATTCTAATTAAAAGGTTGAGAGGGTTCTGAGTTCAAACTAGAACTTGGTGGCAAGAGATAAACAGTAACTTTTACCTATAATGACTTGAACAATGTATTTTGTTAAATAGTGTATAACAGCCAGAGAAAGCATTTTATTAGATTTGCTATACAACACACAATTTTTAATAAGCCAGCATTCAAAAACAGCAGTTTCAACATGTTATTTGTTAAGAATAAAATCTTACAGAAACCACACTGGCATTCTTGCAACAGAACTTGCCCTGAACGCTAGCTACAGTGGCTACTGTCATACTCATTTTGTTCTTCCTCTAATACAAAGGAAAGTGGTACTTTATTTGAAAAAGCAAACATATGGAAATAGTTATACTGTACACGGCTTTTTATATACAGTCGTTAAATAAGCCTGTGGGCAAAGCTTAGTAATTTTGATATTTACTGCCCACCGACGAAGATTAAACACTATACTACGATGCAATGTGATTAAATTCGAAAAATTAGTCAAAAAGCTTATCAAGTGGCAGTGCATTTCTGTTTGAGATTCTAACACCTCTCTAGCGAGATCTGATCTCTTTAATCTTTGCCGTCACTTATTCTCAGAATCCTTGGGTCTTACTAGATCTCCAAATATATTTCTCTTAACAGTTATTTCCTCCTGGACAAACTCGGTCCTTGCGTTTCTTAGTCCTTTCTCAGGGGAATGACCCAACCAACTATTCACACATGCGTGCGTTTTCTTTCTATTTACCACAACAGACCAAAAACACTGGAAAACCCAAACCAGGAAAGCTATACAGGAGTTCCTTAATAAAGCCTTATTCTCTCTGACGATCAAACCACAGTCACTCTTTCTAAAGAAGTTTTTCATTTAAAGTCTCATACAAACGAACACTAAGACGTACCATCTACTACTACAGAAATATTCACGGTTAGTTTCAAATGTTTCCCTTGAACTACAAATAAGTAAATACACAGAAGCTTCAGATCACTCATCGTGCGGTGAGAACGGCCTGTCCGATACTCGCCGCCCTCACGTTCTCCTATTTCGATCTAAGCATCAGCGAAAGGCGGACACTCGGGGCGGAGAGACTCGGCCAAGGTCACACCGCCAGGGACGGCCGCCCCGTCCATCGCGGCCGCCGAGCCGGACACGCACAGCCCGCGCAGGGCGGCCCC